AAACACTCTCTATATATATATATATATATATATATATATATATATATATATAGCCTGATATATATCAGAAGATTGTAATGCAACAACAGGTGGCTTGTTTTGACTCCTTAAAGGATTAGTTCGCTTCCAGAATAAAAATTTCCTGATAATTTACACACCCCATGTCATCCAAGATTTTCATGTCTTTCTGGCTTCAGTCGCAAAGAAATTAAGGTTTTTGAGAAAAACATTCCAGGATTTTTCTCCATATAATGGACTTAAATGGTGGCCAACAGGTTGAAGGTCCAAACTGCAGTTTCTATGCAGCTCAAGGGGCTCTACAAGATCCCAGCCAAGGAATAAGGGTCTTGTCTAGCAAAACGATTGGTTATTTTCTAAAAAAAAATTAATAAAAATTAATATACTTTTTAACCACAATTGCTCGTCTTGCACTAGCTCCACGATGCGCGTCCGCAAATTCACGCATCACGTAATCATGTTGGAAAGGTCACTCGCGGTTAGCTTTTCGTCTGTGTACTCTGGTTCAAAAAGGTAGGGTAGGGCAAAAAACTCCATCTTATTTTCTCCTGCAACTTCAAAATCGTCCGACATTGTTTTACCATTTTTTGTAAAGGGCGTTTGATTTTCTTTGCACGTTTGCTTTGTAAACACTGGGTCAGTACTTCCGCCTACATCACACGTGACCTTTCCAACGTGACTACGTAATGCAAGAAGCCGAGCTAGTGCAAGACAAGCATTTATGGTTAAAAAGTATATACATTTTTCTTTTTTAAGAAAATGACCGATCGTTTCGCTAGACAAGACACTTATTCCTCAGATGGGATCGTGTAGATCCCTTTGAAGCTGCACTGAAACTGCAGTTTGGACCTTCAGCCCGTTGGTCCCCATTGAAGTCCACTATATAGAGAAAAATCCTGGAATGTTTTCCTCAAAAATCTTAATTTCCGTGCGACTGAATAAAGAAAGATATGAACATCTTGGATGACATGGGGGTAAGTAAATTATCAGAACAGTTTTATTCTGGAAGTGAACTAATGCTTTAAATTCTTCCATTCTACATGCATTAACATATCTCATGTTCACTTACACATGCTGAAAAATGAGAGCAATTAGTAAATGCTTAAATAGTTGCACATTTAATTTGCCTTTACAGTGTTAAAAGCAACTGTATGTTCCCTGACACAATTCAAAAAGCAATTACTAGATTAGTTATTTAAAAACAGGCCACATTGATATGAATCACTTTGAAAATAATTGAATTTCACTTTGAAGAATGTGCTTAAAAGATGGAAATTACATTAATTAATACAAACACAGCTTTTCTGCATCTTTAAGCAATTCAACATATGGAAAATGGGAAATTGTCCATATAATTACATCAAGCTCTTGTACATTTTATATCTGCAATATACTAGTCTTATTGAAAAAACCTGGGTTGAGTGTTTAAAAGTTAAACAGGTCAAAGTTCATTCTGCAAAACTAAAATTATATACATAATTTACACTTACATGCCATTTTCACTTTTAAAATAACTCCCCAAGTTCAAACTATTTAAAAAAATAATAATAATAATAAAATAAGGTAGCCTGCTGTAGATGCTGCATAATGCAAAATCAGTTTACTGTAAACAGTTCACACAAACTTTTCCCACAGAGAACTAAAGCATAAACTCATATTTTCATTGCTTCAAGTCCTTCACTTATTTACGTGTTGGTACCTGTCTCTTCTGTGCACGTTTTAGGTGGAAAAGAGCACCTGGAGTGAACCCATCAGCACAAAACGCATGCCTGCTTCAGTACAGTATGAGTGTGAGTGAGTGAGTGAGTGAGTAGCAGGCACATACTGTACCAGCAGACACGGGGCTACAATGTGTCTGTTGGTACAGTATGTGCCTGCTACAAACTAGGCCCTACATACAGCAAGACACTCTCCGCGCCGGCAACTTGTGCAATGTCAGCCGCGCTAACATGCAAAAGCCCGCGTTCGCTAAAGCCTGTAGTGTCTTACAGTGGAGGGCGACAAGAATGAATCGTTTTAGCTTTAGGACCGCTGACCTGTCAAACCACGCAGCTAGCGTACGCTGTAATTAGCTTCGTCCGGCAGAAGAACACGAGCGAAAGCTGCATGAGCGTGAGAGTCGTAAATAAACGCGCGCGGCGCGACTCACCGTGTGAATGTTTGGCGGGTTTCAGGGAGATCTCGGGGAAGTCAAAACGTCTTGCTTCGTGTATCCAGTGCAAGTGAGGAGACACTAGTGCACACAGTGAGCTGATACCACCACAGCGTGCCTTCAAACTAATGTCTCCTCCTCCCAAAAGTCCTCCGTTTGCTCTTTAGCTCGTGCACTAGGCTCTCGGTGGAGGGTTTTCCCCTTAGTTTGAAGGGGAGAAAGGTCCCCTGCCTTGCCCGTGCTGCCACGACAGGGATTTGAAATGAAGAGAATTACTACGATCGCTCCTCCCTCCCCCTTCCCGGTCGCGCTCATGTACAGTACCACAAGGAGCGTATAAAAAAAATTAATAAAACGATCTACCGCTCTCTACAGGACTAACACTGTAAAATGACTGCACTCCATCTCTCTCTTTCAGGCTGCTGTCATGTGAGGCGAATGACAGCGCGCGAAGCGTCCGTCAATGTCTAACATCATTGAAGAAACTCACAGCCGCGCTTCTGATTTAAAGGTGCATGCAGCATTTTTGCTAATTAAAAAAGTTTTACATATAAAAAAATGAACGATAATTGCAAAAATGTAAACTCACATGCGATCAGACTCGTGGCGTATCAGTCTTATAGAAAACGCTATTTTATTCTACATAGAGTGGGTCGCCCCCTCAGGAGATCACATGACCAGCCATGTCATACAATTTTTAATACTAATAATTAGAGCAATAGTAATATGTTTACTTTAGCACTTCTAGCCAAAAATAAACAAACCAAACAATATAACAACAAACATGAAACAGTGTAGTCCAGAATAAAGTTATGGAGCAGGTGGGCAATTCACGAGTCCAAACTTGTAATGTGCTTTGGGCATTTATTTATGCAACAATGGCATTTTGGGGGCCTGAAAACGCAAACATTTTAAAATAGGTTTCAAAGTGCAAGTTTTTGAAACCAATACCATTATCGTCTCCGACTACAAAAAAAAACACACACACATTTTTGACTTGTAAAAATTTTTAAGTAAAAACATTTACAGTACAACATTGTCATGTAAACAAACCCTGGGTGGGTATCCACCTTACTTTGTTTATACACCTTATGGATGGAAGTGTAAAAATGAAACATAAAGCAGTCCCTGTTGGAGTAATGAAACAAACAAGCCACAGTGGCACACAGGTCTTTTTTGACACAGATTGAGGAAAAATAGGACATAGCAAGCACAAAAACATCACAGTCGCTGCAGGGGACAGAAGTAAACAGATGAAAAGGAGCAACAAAAAAAAGGTAAACAAACACTTTCAATATAATAAAAAATAATTAGAAATGGCCAATCTGTCGCCCCCCAATATTTGTAATTCTTGCACTGATCTGCTGTACTCCATTAGGCAGCGCTCTGTTTTTTAAGATGACAGAAAGGTTTAAAAGTTACATTTTCAGCCTGGTCTGCCACAGCGCTCTAACAGCGCTCGTCAATGTCAAAATAATTGAGATGACCAGTCAAATTAAAGTAGGCGAGGTTTACTGTTTTCAGAAGCACAGCGCGAATTCCAACACGAAGCGTCAGTTTAACGTTGAAAGAAAGTGAGGTAAGATGGAAGTTGCAAATAATTTAAAATTAGTCAGCTGTTTTACGATAGAAATGTGAAATGACCGACAGCTATATCTAGTGATGCAAACTACTCGACTTTTTTCCTCAGATATGGCCATCTTGAGAGAGAGTGATGAATGTTTCGTGTGAATTAACCCTATGTGGTGTTCATATTTTTGTTACTCAGCCAGTGTTCGTGGGTCTGGTGGACCCGCTGCATTTTGGGGTTTTTAATTCAACACACAATTAAAAACATTATGTTAAAATACGCAACAGATGTTTACTTCATCGCAATTACAAGCAATATAAACAGCATATATGGTTGATATTTACCCTTTTCCTTTGTTAGATCATATTTATGAATTAAAGTGCTACAACCTTGTTGGCAGGGGTAGAAACACAAAACTCACACTTACACTCATGGCCGTACCCAGGCTTTGAAGGTTTGAAGGGGGGGATGTTGGTGTTAAAGAATTGTGTTATAATAACCCCTACAAATACAACTTATTATATACACTTTAAAGTCAAGGTCCAGAAAAGTATGAAAGGCATCGTCAGAATAGTCCATCTCCCATCAGTGGTTCAACCGTAACGTTATGAAGCGACGAGAATACCTTTTGGTTTTCATCTAAAATATCTTATATTGTGTTCCGAAGACGAACAAAGCTTTTACGGGTTTGGAACGACATGGGGGTTGTCTTATATCATAAGTGATCAATGAAAAAATTTCATTTTGGGGTGGAGTATCCCTTTAAGTGCCGGCGATGCAGTGTTGCCAGATATTGATACTAAAACAAACAAAAATCTAAAAATAAATAAAAATAAACCAACATTATTTCCAATCTTTTGCAAATAAGATAAGATAAAGATATTGCTGATTCTAAACTGCAACTTCCTACTTTATTAATTTTCTAAATTGTTAAATTAAGTGGAAAAGACAATTCCGCTTATAATAGCTGGATCTGGCAATACGGAGGCTGCGCCCGCGCCCTCACTCACAACTCTCTCAAGCTTCGTTCACTCCGCGAGTGTCTCACAGTGATCATTTTCATAACAGGGACGCTAAACATTCTTGCAAGCTGTCTGAACTGAATTATACATGTCATGCAGGCATTCATATGAGGAGTTTAAC